GACTGATTGGATGAAGAATCCTCACACCTGGGTTTGAGCCGCCGACCTAAAGATTATCCCAAAAACCTGCATATGCACTGGCCCTTCGCGGATAAGATTGCTCACCCCTGTACTAGTTACTAGTTAAATTTACTAGGATCTTTCCCTTCAAATGATTAGTTATAATTGCACAGTGGTCATATTTTTCACCAGTATGCGGTACACCAAACCTGGTATACCAAATTTCAAAAATTCTCTGAACTCTGCATGTGGCAAAAAATGCAAATTAGATTATTATTTTTTTCTTACATTTAAATTTATTGGGTATCAGTATGTGTGTGAGAGAAGCACTGGAATTCCAGAGTCCTAATTCTGGATATTTATTTTAAATAGTAAAATGGAAACTCATTAAGCTCTCTGAGGATGAACATTTTTTTCAGTATAAAATTGCAGTTCTGTTACAGAATGTAATGGGCGATTGTCTCAAATTTCCTTTCCGTGCTCTGTTTGTTGTTTTTTTTATGTTGGGCCATTTAGCATTTTGAGAATGGTGGTGACCGTGAAATTATGAAAAATATGCAACATTCATTCTGAATAACATTGGAATGACTGGCTCTGAAAAGAAAAGGTCCCGGGCAGCAATGCCAACCTGCAGATTTGTTCAAGAAGCATGATCAAAACAGCCTATGAGATCATTTTTATTTTTGAAATCTCTGCACATGTCTTTGTATATCTTTGCACATGTCAAAGGATAAAGCTCTCTGCCATAGAATTTTTGCTTTTCTTCTGTGTTGTATCAGTTGTACCTGTAAATAAATGAACAGTTCTAGTGATGGAACTAGAGGGAAATTTATTATATCATACGTTATACACATACACTTCCAATCTAACCCAATCATGTCATATTACACTCTTGCATAATTCTGAGAATGTATCCGCTTGTAAGCTGAGGGAACTTACAGCCCACCCCCACTATTCCCCCCCCCCAAAAAAAAAAAAAAAAAATCCAGTGTCCATAGGTTGTGTTTCTTAAACACGTTCTTTGGAACATTTGTAAACTTAAATTAACCTGAAGAGTAAGTGAAGGTTTTGACGCCCCCTATCCATTTATTACTGTAACTTTCAAAGTCTACAGTTTACTGGCAAACACAATCCACTAGTGAATATATTAAGACCCAAAGGGCAATATGAAATTTTTATAGAATGTATTTATCCTATAGTCAGTCCTGTAGCAGCTTATGTTTCTCATAAAGGACAGTATCTGCTAAGTCTGTGTAAAGTAACAGATTCCAAACAAAAATGTGGCAAGTTTCCTTCAATACATGTTGTATATGGTCCATTGCAAAGTTTTTACAGTATTACCCCTCAGCTATTTAAAAGTACTTATATAGCACATGCAGGAAGAGTAATTCCTATTGCTTAATATACTCCACTGCAACAGCAAAAAAATTCTATGTGCACTATTTATGTTATGATTAATATGTATATTTTTGCTTTACTGCTCTTGCATTTAAGAAAAGCAATGTTTGAGAAGGTTTTGATATTCTGCATAAAAGCAAACAGACTTCTCTCCTTCTGCTGGCTTTGTTGAACCAATTCCCAGTCTGATCTCACTACCTTATGCAGAGAGAGCTCAGTAAGTACAGATCATGTGCCAAGGGTATCTCCTGAATCACAAACACAAAAGAGACTTGCCTAAACTATAATGTAAAAAAAAAAAAACTATTTTCTTTTTTTCTAAGTTTGTTTTCTGCTCGGAGAATAGAAATATGATTAATTTTTAAATGGCTGTATTATGTTTTTTGGGGTTTCTTGTTGGCTGTTGTCCTCTAATTTATTGAAATTACATTCATATTTTCGACATTCAGATATGTTTGCAGCCTGAGTATGCCTTAAGTTTTCAGTTTTAAGGGTCTTGTACATTAATGCCACCATTTAAATTTGAAAAGGGATACAAAAAAATGTTTCTTTTTTAACATAGAATTACACCAATTTTTATTATGGTTTAAATATGTAAACATTTTCCATACTGGTATTTAACAGTGTTATTGTTCTGTGTAGTGTAATATATGAATAAATTAATGCAGCAACAATTGTCAGATTGTCTGTGATTTTTGTTCTTAATGTTTTTTCCCCCAGAATGTTGAATATAGACACTACAGAACTGAAATACAACATTCCTGAAGGTTTCCTGGAGGTGTGCATACATGAAATCCACTGTTTTTCAATAAGGGGTCTCCTCACCCTGGCATCACCCTCATTTTCATTTTGAAAGCTCCAGTAGTTCAATGGGTCGCACTGTAAACTTGCACTGGCAGGGTTATGCCCATCGCGACACGTGTAAAGTTTGCATGTTCCTGTGTTTTGGCCGTTGCCCCTACAATCCAATGACATAATCTTTGGCTGGATTTGCGTGCCTGAATTATTCTTTGTGTGTGCTACGCTTTGTGATAAACTGGCATACTGTCCTCTTCTGGTCTTCCAATAATGCAGTTTAATTAAAGCAAATTAAATAAAACTCCCAACTGGCCTTGTGACCTCGACCTGTCACACTTTAGTACCTCTGTAATCTCAGTCTGCATTTTACTCTCCACTTTAAATAATGAATTCTGGTATTTAACGATTTCACCTGAGGGCAACATTTTCACCTGTTTCTTTGAGTGATGAAACTGCGCATATACATACGCTGATTTCCATTAGTTCCAGCCAGATGTCCTGCAGCACAAAAAGCAGTAAAGTAACCAGCTGATGAAACCCCGCTTGAGCCATGGCGGTTTTTCAAAATTTGTCAAACAAAATCTGCTTGTTGCTAGACCTATTTGCAACTCGGATAAGAATTTATGATTATGAGTATTAGAACATGTATATGATACTGATAAATCTTGGTTCTTATGTAATAAATTAATATTAGTATTTAACAAATATGTGCACTCACCATTATAACCCAACACTCAGCCTTATTAATAAGTATTACTGTTAAGGCTAGCATTGAAGTATGACATAATGCACGTGTAGTTTCATATGTTAAAGACCAAGGGATTTTTTCACTATGACTTATTTACAGCGGTTAGACACACATAATGTGACAGACTGACAATCAGCATCAGATTGTGGATTTTGCCAAAACAACAAAAGCCCACATGCACCTCAAATTACGGATGCTCTCCCTTTCCTACAGCGAATGAAAGGGCTAAAAAGAAGACAAAGCGCTACATCTAACTCTCTATTAGCACCAAGAGAGTGAAAAAGCACATTCTGCCATCAGAAATCATTTGCATTAATGGACTTCTCATATTGCACCAGTTCACCATTACCAGATGCAGAAAACACCCCCGTACCATTATCCCACCTCCGCCATGTTTCACAGTGGTGGACAGGCATTCTGGTTTGAATTTCTCTCCTGACCTACCAAGACAGCGTTTGGGAGCATCGGTGACCCGTCACTCCAGAGAAGACGCCGAAACCACTGAAAATCATGGTGACCATGAAGTGGCAAAAGTCTGTCTGCCACATTTTTAGTGGACAGCAATGGCTTCCTTGCACATCTTTTTGATGTGAAACCAACTTCCTTGAGCTGTCTTGTAATTGTTCTTTGTGAAACAGCCTCATTTTGCGCATTTCTGAATTCCTGTGCTAATTTTTCAGAGGCTTCTTACAATTCTTCTGAACAGTCATTGTCAGCCTTCTGTCATCTCGACTTCTTGTCACTTTAGATCTTCAGGAACCTGCCTTCGGTGCCACAGATTCTGTCACTTGAAATGTGTGACCAATTCTCTGAGTTGTATACAGTGGAATCTGGATATCCTCAGACTTCAATCAGACATGAATGGAACAGAAGTGACGCAGCACGCTGTGAAAGGCTGTAAGACAGCTTGCCCAAATGGCTCAGTTTTTGAAAAAGAATCAAGGGAAAAGCCACCCCCTTCTAAATTGCACACTGGCTACAGACAACGCATATATTATTGCAAAACAGTTGCTTATTTCACCTGTATTTGTTAAAGAAAAGTAATCATAAAAGGTGGTAAATCTTGCTTGCCTCATTTTTGTTTTTGTCCAGCAGTGTATAATGTAAACATGTACTAACTCATGTAATAATCTAATAATGTAATAGTCATTTCTGTAAAAATCACATTAACCTGATTTTAAAATAACAATATAATGTTGCACAATTCAATGCAGTATCCCCTTCCGGTATACGTTACAGAATTTAAGATACACGTTGTTAAAATTTACAGATCAACGTGCAGATGTTGCATAAGCGCCACAGTACGTGTGATTCCCTTTCCTCTCTTTACCTCTTTATTAATCCACTATAGTCATCATGATTATGATGATCTTCTGTTTTATTATAGCTACACTACCGACCAATCGCAGCTACTGACATGTTGGCACAGAGGATGTCTACACATTAGCTGCTCTAACGCCATGTGACTGAGATTAGTGATTATACACATCAATTCCTTCACCTTGGACAAGGACATCGCGTCAATATATTGATATATAAATATATAAACCAGAAGTGTTAAAAGATTTCCCACAACTAAACAAATACGTGTCTGAAATGTTGCCAAATTTAACGGGAATATTAAAATGCTACTTAAATATTTCCTTTTCTTGCACAAGTATGACAAGCGCTATTTTCAAGTTCCAAAACTTACATTCAATTTATCGTAACATCAAACTGTTAAAATTACACCCAACGAGAACAGCCACTACTTTTTAACACCAGATAAAACTAATTTAAGACCTACGCCGGATAAAACGTATGCGGTTTACTTCTGAACTTTAGTACAATACTCGTTTCGCTAACTTCTTGAGAAATAACTTCATGCGTATTTATCACACATGAATAACGAACTACCAGCTCGAAAATCGCAACTGTTACCGTACTCAAAAGGTGCGAAATGAACCAGAAATGTCAGCAATGAAATGTACTGCAAGACATACACAGAAACCTAATGTGCGATGAAGATGGCAGAATTTCAAATGCAATAAATGCCTAACCAAGCCTAAGTGTGGAATTTGAAGGGGAGAACAGAACTTGAGTATTTCTTTGATGTTCGCTTAACAATACAAAACGTGACTCAGGAGGGAGCGCGAGCTCCGCTCCTCCTCCCTTTCGGCGTCGGACCGGCTTTTCCTGAGGTCACTGCAGCACGTGATGCGTGCGGACGCGATAAGGGTTCGGCTGCTTGGTGTTGTGCGGGTCGTGTGCGGGTTCCGCCGCCGGGGAGGTAAAGCCTTTTAAGTTATACAATGGCATCCTTTTTATGTGTTAGTATTTGTGACTGATCATAGTTTCATTACGTCGAAACAAATCTGTACCTGTTTAAATGCCACAAGAGAAGGTCGTATTTGTGCGAAAGTAGGGGGTCTGTGTTTGTGTCGTGCTGCACGATTCACCTGTTACATTTGCAGGGATTATCTTTCATGGGATTTAATTGTAAAATAAAAAAAAATTCTGCTCTGTTTGGGTATAGTGGACTTGAAGTTGTTTTCTTAGAGAATCTGCTGAAGTTACATAGAGAAGCGGAGCAGGCATGGTCTGACGGTACTACTTTAAGTTACGAAACGTAGTTGTGCTCATTGATTTCGAGTTAGTCGGAGTTGGATTTTTGTAGATAAATGCATTCGCTCCTCCTATTTGCTCTGCGGGGTATGTGAGTCTGTAAATTTAATTTGCTTGTTAACCACTCAAGTTATTTACAGGTTGTATCAGTGCCGTAGACATACAGTATTTAGTGTGATGCAGACAAATAATGCCTCCTGGTCCCCCAGTATGATTGAACTATGCTTGCATCGTCTAAGGTGGCATCGTATTCAGAGCAGCAGGATTATAGTAATACTTCTTCCGATTATCAGTTTGTTACTGAATTGCTAATGAACGGTTAAACACTGCGTGAGAATAACCTAAAGAAAGCATTACTGCACGTTCAAATCTGCCTTTAGGCTCGTATGCTTTTAAAACCTGAACTGCAGCTTTTTTTTTTTTTTTTTTTTTTTTTAAATAAAAAATTCACTTCAAATTCTACATAATAAACAGTACAGTATCAAATATAAACATGGATCTGACTGTATATTTTGCATTTTTGATTGTGTATTTTTTTGTGTATTTGCATATTTTCTCAGCATGTTTCCTCACTAAAATTGATTTTTATATAATTATCTTTCTACAGGTATACAAAAGGCTGGAGAAAATTTTAAAGGAAGATGGCCTGGTAAACTGCAAAGAGAGAGTTTTTGGTCTCATAATGACATCAGCACTCGCATCCATTTGGGAGCTACACTGGTACATGTTGGTTCCATTGTTCCGTGGTCTATTTGCCTGATTTTTTTCTATTTTTTTTTTATAAAGAGAACCTTATCTAACTTGGTCACCACCATGTATCAGGTGGTCCTGGGTGGTGCTGAGTGCGGCAACATAGGCCCTACAGGAAACGCTGCGGCCAGCAAGCGTAAGAGGGGCAGGGAAGGACACCGTTTGATAGGTGCAGGCATGCTGGGTGTCGTCCTGCTAATTGTTGCAGTGGCTGCCTGGTGCTACTACACGGCTTCCCTGAAGAAGGCTGACCAGTTGAAGACCGAGCTGTTGAACCTCCATAAGGATGGGTTTGTCATCCGCAATCAGGCGGGAGTCGTGGTTTTCCGCATGGCTTTCAGGTGTGTTCAGCTGTAACTCTGGTCACTTCAGTGTTATTTGCTATTGAAATTAAATCTGTTTTACATCGGTTATAATTGTGCTTTGCGAAGTGTCAGTGATCTCTTAGGAACATGCTTAGGAACTACTAACTTTTTTTGCTGTTTGGCGTTTCATGAACAACTAAACGTGAACTGAAGATGAAATGTTCATTCCTGATGTATAGCAATTTGCTTTATGTACAATAACAGTATCTGCTCAGGGCAGTTCAGTTTTGACTGGTCAACTGCAACTAACATGTTGGGACACACAGAGGATGTCTACACACTAGCTGGTGTAAGAGCATGTGACAGAGATTAGTGATTACACAAAGTAGACAGGCGCTTTCTAACCAACAGCACATAGCATTTTATTTATGCAGCCCATGACATGTTTTTGATTCATCATCAGATCTGGTCAGCAGATTGATCTTCCACAGAATACATGACGTAACGTTATTATGTTAAGTGCTGGCAAGTTTCACCGCTGGTACTGTCAAGATTATACAAAAATGAATTGATTATCCAATTATTTTTTATGCAGAAATATGGAGATTAAAGAAAAATTGTATTTGTTAATGCATTTAATGTAATTGAGATAAAAAAAAAAAAAAAATTCCATCTACTCAATTTTTGCTCCACTACTGCTTCTACCCAAAATTGCTCATGGGTAACCTATAAAAAAAGTTTATCGCTATACGCCGTACCCAGTAGTTCCTGGTTGAGCGAAAAATACCTACTCCAGAATAAGAACTTTAAAAAAAAAATAAAAAAAAAAAGGTTGAGGAACTATAATCAGGCTGATGGAAACGTGCATTTTTAGATCTTTACTGCTTTGGATTTCTTAGGAATTTAAGTTGTTTAATACCTGTGACTTGCATGACTCTCTCTCTCTCTCTCTCTTTGGCTATGGAAATACAGATCAGGAACCCTTGACTTGGACTCTTGCTCGAAGAAGGGAGTGATACTGAGCTGTGACAGGTCAGATGTGGGCAAAGTCAATTTCTTCATCCAGGTAGTGTGGCCCAGGGACACAGTGATGTGCTACAGGGTGCGCTGGGAGGAGCTGGTACCCGGGCGTCCTGTGGAACACGCCATGGACTACAATGGCTCACACTGGTATGGCGGCGATGAAAGAGCCACTCAGCATTGGCCCCTCTCCATAGCAGGCCAGCAGGAGCCTGAACCCTTCATCACTAGTGACGTCTACTCCAACCGGCATAAATTTGGCGGCATCCTGGAGCGTTACTGGCTCTCGTCTAATGCTGTAGCTATTAAGATCAACGATTCGGTACCGTTCCACTTGGGCTGGGACGAAGTAGCACAGACCATGCGCTTTCAGGCTAGATATCAGGACAGCCCTTACAAACTGCTCCAAGGACCACAGGGCCATGCCGAGCTCAGCTACAGAGTCTGTGTTGGCTCTGACATCACCTCTATTCATAAGTACATGGTCCGGCGCTACTTCAACAAGCCCAATAAGGTTCCTTCTGAAGCAGTGTTTCACCACCCTATATGGTCCACGGGAGCCCTGCACAAGAGTGAAGTCAGCCAGGAGAACTTGCTAACATACGTAGCTAACATCCAAAAGTATGGCTTCAACTGCAGCCACCTGGAGCTGGTTGACTGCTACACAAGCAACTATGGGGATTTTGATTTTGATCCCATTAAATTCCCAAATGCCACAGCCATGTTCCTGCAGCTAAAGGCCGATGGAATTCTTGTGTCCCTGTGGACTCATCCTTTTGCCAACTATGACTCTGCCAACTTTGGCGAAGGAGTGCGTAAGGGGTTATTTGTGCGGGAGCCCACTGGAAGTCTTCCAGCTCTGGTGCGCTGGTGGAATGGCATAGGTGCAATTTTTGACTTCACAAACCCAGAAACCCGGGACTGGTATGCTTCACAGCTGCGTGCTCTCAAGTCCAAATACGGGGTGGCCTCCTTTAAGTTCGATGCAGGTGAGACCAGCTATCTGCCCCGGCAGTTTAGCACCTTCGCTCCCCTGCATGACCCTAGTACCTTCACTCGCCGCTACACAGAGATGGCCATCCCCTTCAACGAGCGAGCTGAACTCCGGGTCGGGTACCAGTCGCAGAACATCTCCTGCTTCTTTCGCCTCATTGACCGTGATTCGGTATGGGGTTACGAGCTGGGCCTCAAATCCCTTATCCCCACTGTGTTAACCATTAGCATTTTGGGCTACCAGTTCATCCTGCCTGGCACAATCGGTGGTAACATGTATCTCAATCGTACTGACAGCAGTCGGCGACTGCCCGACCGGGAACTATACATCCGCTGGCTGGAGCTCTCCGCTTTCATGCCTGCCATGCAGTTTTCCATCCCACCCTGGGAATACGATGATGAGGTTGTCCAGATTGCCCAGCGGTTCACAGCGCTCCACGAGACACTGGTGGCCCCCAGGGTGCTGGAGCTTGCAGGGGAAGTTCTAGACACTGGGGACCCCATTGTGCGACCTCTGTGGTGGATTGCCACTGACGATGAGGCTGCTTATAAGATTGACTCCCAGTTCCTGATTGGCGATGATCTCATGGTTGCACCAGTTCTTGAGCCGGGGAAACAGGAGAGAGATATCTACCTCCCAGCTGGGAAGTGGCAAAGCTACAAAGGGGAGTATTTTGATAAGGGCCCCATGTACCTCACAGACTACCCAGTTGACCTGGACGAGATTGCGTACTTTGTCTGGGCACAGTAGGTATCGTTTTGAGAAATTTTACATCATAAATGAATCATCACTGCATTATACATAAAATATTTTGCATAAGTGAATTTTCTCAAGTTCTTTAAAATGCTTGTGCCTAACTCAGGAAAACATAGCAGTTTATTAGTATTTAAATTTTTTGAAATGGCTCACCTGATGGGAGTACTTCCAAGGTAGCATTCATGTGTAAAACTTAAGCATTAATTTTTTTGATTTTAATGTAGGTCTAATTCCCTGGACATTAAAGAAAATAGAGATGACTTCCATTTAGAGGCAGCCATATATGTGCCTTTGAGAGTGTTTTTAATATATTATGAATTCTAAATGTATCCAAAAATGCAAATTGAATGATGGTTTCCAAATCATTTTTGTAATGTCAAATGATTGAAATTTTAAGCATGTAGACCTTGGTGCATTTGGATTTGGGCTTAGGTTGATGCTTTACTGGGGTTTATTAGCTAGGTTTAATGCCTGATTCATTGTTCATTTTAATTGTTTTACAGCACTGAGGTCAGCCAGTGTGTCCACATGCACATGCAGTGAGGCGGCAGTGTGCTCTGGCCACTAAGCAGCGTCACTCTTATCCCAATAATCCCAGTTCCTATTTATAATGATGTATATTATTACATCTGCCTAACAGATGTCCAGCTGACACCTTGTACAACAGTCGTAAAAGTTAACTGGTTACTCATGCATACATATCTCACTACATTTTGTATCTCTCTTTACTAGAGGGCGGACTATATGATTGAGTGTGTGTCAACGATACTTTACACTGACACATTTTGAGCTAAAAGTATTGGCATATTTCACATTTTCCATGGGGAAAATCAAAATGACTTTTACGAAGAGCATCTAATGGCACCCCCTACACGCCAAGCTATGGCTGCAGGCTCTTGGCTCTTTGCAAAATGGTTTAATGAATTGACCTCCGATTGTGATGACTTTCAGACACCCTAGATCCGTTCTTTTAGTCGTCATGCTAATGGAAATTAGCATGATAAAGAGGTTTAATATATAGTGTTATAAAATGCAGCAGGTCAAATCTGTGATAAGAGCAATTTTGCTAGTCAGTTGAATTGGCGTATCCTGCCAATAAAATGCCTGCAGTCAGTAAACTGCTTTTGCACTGATCTGTATACTCAGGTGAGGTTTTATTGTAGCTATAGTACATTTGCAAAGCATAAACAAGTTATATGATTTTCAGAATCCGAGCCCATTATATATATTTTTTTGCACTGTATGAGATTCTTTTATACAATGAATGTAATTATATATGGAAAAAAACATGAATACTGTTTTAAAGAAAATATATTTGCACAACCTGTCTAAGTGTCTTTTTGTATCTGTATATGTACTTAGTAAACATGAAAGGTCTTAATTCATCCTGTGACATTTTAAATGTCTTTGGCATTGTTTTTCCATTCTAACAATGCGTTTGTGTTTCTGTTAGGGACGTTTGTTTCGCCTATGACGGCAGCTATTTCACCATCCAGAGGTGACACTGACGTGGTGCTTGGGCTGCCCCCTGTGGCACTGGTGTGGGATCTGTGGGCTGCAATCCTTTTAAATTTTATTTTATTTTATCAGATCAAAGCTCTTCTTCCCCACCTCTGCCACTGTTCTCATTACAGGTGTCAAGGTCAGTTCATACTTTTCTGTGTGCACTTTCCTGTAATTTTGGCCTGGGGATGATCGCACTGCAACTTTTGTTCGTACTACATTTGGCTGTAGATGTGGATGGTTGCATGCATACAGCAGTGATTTTTTTTTTCCCCCACCAGACCAGTGGCCTGTACTACGAAGGGGGTTTAACCAAATCTGACTTAACCCCGAGGTAATTTGCGAACGCCAGGTTGACAAAATCAGGTTGACTCCATCGGGGCTAATCAGTACTACGACGCCAGTTAAGAAGTTGATTTGTTAAATCGGTGTTAACTGCATTGGAGTTTGTGCGCGTTCACATAAATGGAGCACGTTCGGCAGCGCAAGGCACCGTTTGACTCATAGCGCGACCTCCATATGTTTCACGGAGGAAGACTGCATGCTAATTATGCAGGGTTATGAGGAGTTTAAATCAACGCTGTAAAGAAAGTCCAATACCACTGCAGCCAACAAAAGCAGGCAGGCTTGTTGACAACGTATTGACAAAGAAGAAAATGCATACGTACATTTTCACGGTCATAAAACGTGCTCTAAAATATCTCACGACCGAGTATTAGACTATGAAGTGTTTTCTGAAAAGAACAGAAATACTGTTAATATAATTACAGAGGCTAACAGATGCGACACAATGCAGAAGTTACCTATTATATGCTCAGGGCTCTCAAGTTTCACGCATTGAGAGTGACAGTCACTCTTTTCAGTCTTTTGTCACGCACTCCCGCCACACATTGTATTTCTCACGCGGAAAAATAATTTGTAGGCTAATAGCGCCTCACTATAAAACAAGCGTGTCTCCGCTGGAGCCTAATGGTGCGTTCGTTTTTCTCTCGGAACTCGGAAATTCTGAGTTGAGTGACATTATGGTACGTTCGATTATTTCTCTCCAAGTCGGAACTCGGATGAAAACGTCACGAAACGTCAAGAAAAACGTCGCTTCCCATCGGAAACACGCCTCTTTTTTATTAAGTCGGACAAGATCTGCCCCAAGAGCCTGTCACTTACCAGCCAATCAAAAAAAAAGAAAGGGCCTACACAATAGCCAATCGGAAAATAGTACTATTGTATCTGGGTAAAATACAACACAACAACCAATGAAAAGGCATCCTGTGGAATGTCATTCTTGCCTGTCTTCAAAACTTGACAGCCCTGTATGCTGCTAAGTAATGTAATGCTCCCTGAAGTTCCATTACTGTAATGTTACTCATAATGCAAACCTAATGTTAACAATAACTGATCCGATTTCAAATGCAATAGTAGTGGAAAGCGTACGTGGCAGCAAGTAAAGATGAAATATAAAACATCATGTCAAGTGGTAGGGCTATGTATTTATATTTCTACTCATTATGAAAGATTTGTTGTGTCTAGCATCCACTTAATAGCGTGTTTCTATGTTTTACAGCTAATAATAAAAAGGTATCTGTTCAATGACACTTAATAGAAGGTGAGCCATTGTTTAACAAACAATTAAATGATTTACAACAGGACAAAACAGAAGCATATGTGTAGTGAGAAAACGACTAGGAACCTCTCACCGCGTTTAAGTTAGCCTCATATTCCATATTCAGGTTTCTGGCTTTAATATCTTTACGGAAGTAAGGTGGGCGTTTTTCATGACAGAATTGTGATGTCCAGTACACAGACATCGATGCACATCAATTTTTCCGCTTCAAAACATTTTGTGATTTGTACCATTAATAGCTAATATAATAGGTCCTTTCAGCTGTAACAACATATAGTGGTTTAGTATTTTGGGCTTATGGCTACTGTTGCACACCCCTATATTTGTTTCCCAGATTGCTTTACATGCGAATTTTAATTAATTTTTGAATGTTCGAATGTATCCGTATACTGTGCAGTCGACAATACATGAATGGGTTAATAACTTTAAAACTAGACAAGACAGGCACATCTA